TCTATCTGCTCCTATGAGGCACTGCGTGTGTGTGTGTGTGTGTGTGTGTGTGTGTGTGTGTGTGATGTAGCATTTTTAACTGCATTTTTATTAAATGTATCAGGTGAATCCCTGGAACTGTTAGCGAACCTTTTCGACAGCAAGTGCTGAAACAGGAGTGCAGGCAGGCGGGGGAGCATCGGAAACTGGAAGAGCAGCTCCCCATGTGAGCATTGGGAAGCTGAGCTTCCATTTTCCAGCGTGTACAAGCGTGCCGGTCACCTGGTTTCTGGTGTGCATGCATGCACAAAAACCAGCTGGAAACCAGAAGACTGGCGCGTGCATGCACGCCAGGGAGCTGCTTTTCTGGTTTCTGGTGCTCCCACGCATCCACGCAAGAACCCAGAAGAGCAACAGGCGACAGCTGCTATGCCCGGAGAGATGGCTCTGCATGCCACTTCCAGCACACGTGTCATAGGTTCGCCATCACGAAAGATAGAAAGCATGAACAATCCAATGAATTGCTCAATTGAGCCAAGCATCTTGGTTACACCCTAAATGTTATGGCAGAATGTGGTTGGCTGGGTTAGGGTATGAATGTTGCCATTGTCTCCTTGTTTAAGTTCCGATTACCGTATTTTTCGGAGTATAAGACGCACCGGAGTATAAGACGCACCAAGGTTTTGAAGAGGCAAATTTTTAAAAAAAGTTTCTGCACTCTGCAAACCTTCCAAAAATGGCCCGTTTTTTTTCCAAAAAAAGAGGCATGAATAGCCTTTAGGGGACTTGCAGTGCTCCTGGGGAGTGTCCTCCCAAAAACGAGCAAAAATGGCCTGTTTTTTGTGAAAATGGCTCCGTTTTTCATCAAAGAAATTGCATACATAGCCTTTAGGAGGCTTAGAGTACTCCTGGGGGCTAGGGGTGGGGGGGTGGGAATTGAGCAAAAAACAGCCCGTTGTTCACTCATTTCTGCCCTCCTCAGACCTCGGGAGCACTCTGAAAGCCTCCTAAAAGCTATGCAAGGTCATTTTGGTGAAGGGGGCGGAGTTTCAGGAGGCAAAAAATGCTGTATTCGATGTATAAGACGCAACCAGATTTCAGCCTCTTTTTTTGAGGGAAAAAGGTGCGTCTTTTTTTTTTGTTTGTTTATTGNATCTATCTATCTATCTATCTATCTATCTATCTATCTATCTATCTATCTATCTATCTATCTATCTATCTATCTATCTATCTATCTATCTCATCTATTGAGATATATATGGGGAAAATTGAAAAGCTCTTTTATGATTTGGGGTTTGCCCTGTTCTCTCTCTGCCACAGCCTAGTCCAGGCACAATACTGGCATGATCCGGTGAACGAGAAGGAATACCGCAGAAGCAGTCTCTTCTTGGCTGACATCAACCAGGAGCGGGTAGGCCAAACTCTCTAACCAATGCAAAACACGACTAGGCTATTCCGATTCACATGTTACATTTTAAAATGCTTCTTTGCTAGAAAACGAGCCACAGGTAGCATATAAGTTTCATAATTAAAATAAATGAGTGAGTGACTGGGAATGAATCAACCAACCACAGCTTAGCACACAAGCAAACTCGGGTGCTCTAAACCAGGGCTCTCCAACCTTGGCAACTTTAAGATTTGTGGACTTCAACTCCAAGAAAAATCAGCTGGTCTGTGTGGACGGGGCAAGCGAGCCAGAGAGTGAGATATATAGGACAGAATAGCACGGGGATGGGCAGACGGGGCCAGCTGGTGGTCGGAACTACTGGTTCGGGCATAACTGGTCCAAACCTCTGGTTGTATTGTAGAATCGGATTATTTTTTGCCATTAACACTGTTTTGAAATTTATCTTTCCCTGCCTGTTTGTCCAGGTCATCAATGAGACTTACAAGAAAAACCTGATGACTCTGAAAAAGTTTGTGATGGTGCGGTTCCTCAATGACACCATGGTAGATCCCCCGGTCTCTGAGGTGAGCAGCTCAGAGGGGTGCAGTGCTACAAAAGTTGTGCCCATCTGAAAATCAAAATAGGATTTAACTTGTCGTCCCCCCCCCCCAAAGCAGTTCTTAATCAAAAACAAAAAACCCTACAGGTAGCCCTCAAATTATGACCACAATTTGGACCAGAATTTCCAGTTAAGCAAGGTGGTGGTTAAACTGAGTCGCAACTGATTTTATGACCTTTTGTGCCAGGATTGTTAAGAGAATCATTCCAGTTGCTAAGTAAATTAGGTGGTTGTTGAGTGAATTCAGCTTTCCCCTTTGCTTATTCATGACTTTGCTTATTTGTGTTCTGACCCAGCCTTAGCAGAACGAAGAAACAGATTTCTTGTCCCGAAAAAACCCTCTTTCTTTAGCTACTGTGAATTGAGGCATTCACACACAGAAAAGTCCAGGCAATAATCCTTCCAAGGGTTAATTGCAGTAACAGACCTTATCAGTCTTTGGATAATTGCCAAGCCAAGAGCTTCCAGTCACAAAGCTGTAAATTAATTCCTGGCAAGCAGTCTGTGAGGCACATAAGAGAATCTTCTGAAAGAAATACGAACTGTTGTCTCCTGCAACCACCACTCCCCTTTTGCTTCTATTTATTCCCCAGCCAGGGAAGGGCCATTCAGCATCCATGGGTGCCTTTCTTCCCTCAGTTGTTCTCCCCTCTTGAAAGCTCTGCGCATACGTGCATCTGGAACAGGCGCCAGCTGTTCTTCTTCTCCACTTATCTCCAACACCGAAAGCAGCTGGGAAATGTTGGACGGCCCTGGCTCTATCTCTGCTTCTGACACAGAGCATCTATCAGAGCCTTCCCCAGGCTCCAGGATTGGCCCAAGTTCCTCCCCAGCCTCCTCATCGTCTGAGTGTGCCACCAGCTCTGCTGGCAGCTGGCAGGCCACAACAGTTTGACTTCAGTTGTTGGAAACCAGCTGGGAAGATGGCAAATGGTGATCCCCTGGGAAGCTGCAACCATCGTAATACATCCTGGTTGCCAAGTATCCAAATTTTGATATTTGTGACTATGGGGATGCTGCGATGGTCATTAGGGGTAAAGACTGGTCATGTGTCACTTTTCTCAGGGGTGTTGTAGCTTTGAACAAATGAATGGTTGGACGTCAAGGACCACCTGTGCTCCTTTTGAGTACAGTGTTCTCAGACATGGTATTTTGGCAAGTCTCCCCTTTTGGGATGTAGGGGATTTATTGCTTTTCTCCCTCTCCCACTTTTGGGAATCCAGCTCCAATCACTAGAAGTCCTCCTTAGGAGAAGAAACACAGGGATGCCTGTTAGCTGCTTCAAGGGATTGGCCACCACAATAAAGAAGCTTCTTGGATGAGAAGCAAAACATCTTCAAAGAGAAACCAGAAAGTCCAGTCGCCTCTTGAAAAAAGCATCTTTGGGATCACAATAAATACATTTTCATGCTTTCTTCTTCTCTTTCAAGTGGTTTGGTTACTACCGGAGCGGCCAGACTAAAGAGACCATTCCTCTTCAAGAGACTACGCTCTACACAGAGGTAATTGCCCTGAGTGTTGCACTCTTTCCTTTGAATGACTGAAAACTCAATTTAGCTTGAAACAAACATCCCATCTGTTACAGGTGTTATGTCCACCTTGTATGCAGCTTTATTCCTCTCTAGCATTCATCTCCATTGTTTTCTGATGCATTTCTTGCCTCTCTAGGATGTACCTCTATCTGCTCCTNGTATCATCTTTCATTTGAGCTTTAACTCCTCTTTGTGTCTTATAGTCTGAAAAATACGGTAAATGTTTCTCGCTTTAACTGGCACATTCCCTTTTTCAGGATCGTTTGGGCCTAAAGGAAATGGACAAAGCAGGAAAGCTGGTGTTCCTTCAGGCAGAAGGAGACCATCTCCGCTTTTCCAAAGACTGGTTCTTCAAGAACATCATGCCATATCTAAGCGATGCTGGTGATGAGAGTTGGGCTGTTCTAGCGTAGGGTTTGGGGGTTGGAGGTGATCTCCATGGCAAGGTGAGATATGTCCCATAGTCAGCTATCCTGAAAGACGGGCTCTTTCTACTAACCTTGCTAGGTTATTGTTCCGTTTCAGGATTAATGGTTAGTCATGTTCAACTGAAAGTATTTCAATTTTTTTCAAAACCCAACCTGGCCTTGTCTCCAGGATCTGCCTGCTGCAGATATTAAATCATCTGTCACCTGATAGTATGGTATTTGTATTGCCACAATGGAGCCTGTCCCCAAGGCTCAGGGGAGGGTGTAATTGATACCATTCGCACGGTGTGAAATTTCCACCAGGTGAGTGTGATATGGGTTGCGTTCGACAGAGGGACCACTTCTGTGATCTTGTTGAAGTGTCAAGTGTAAAGAAATTCAAAAGGAACTGTTCAATGCCATTGTGTAGTTGCTCTGAATGGAGATATTGAGTAGGTTTAAATAGGGGCTGCATTCTGAATGAAGCATGGTGGGGTGAGGTGTTTCCGCAGCTGAGATTTTTCTCTGAAAACTGTTGAGCTTTGATGGGTGGGAAGGCTGTCAATGCTGGAAGGAATTCTGATAGAAAAGCCATTGGTTAGATTTTCCAAAATGGGGCAGAAGGTTTAAAATATGATGTTGAAATCATGTTAATTTATACTTTCTTTGGGTTTACAAGAATATTTTTGCAACTTGACATGGTCTAATAAACAAGTCTTAATTTAAATTGCATTGGTGGTAACTTCTGGGCTAGAGTGACTTACCTACACATCATCTCTAGGTACTTATACTTGACAATTTGGGTGTGTAGGTGTTCAGGGAGGGGTATCACCCCCTGGTATAGGGGCACTTCGTGTCCTTTTAGGGCAGCTTTTGGGGTGGCTCGTCCACCTTTGGTGCCCACCTGTTATTCAGCTCTCTCCTGTGGCTCCTAGTAACTGTAGCATGCGCAAGCAGCTACACCCCAGGCAACAGCTTTGACAGGCTGGCCAAATCAGGTTGAGAGTAACCGTTGGGTCATTGACCTTTGGTGAGATAGGGACTTGTCTATCCCGAGCTTATGAAGACAGATTCCAGCGGACTGAGGGGATGAAACCTACTAGAATAGGACAACGGTCATGAAGGCAGTCTCTGCAAACGATGTGGTGCGCTAGGAGCACGGCAAGTCACGAAAGATGCCCTGGTCGATCACTGCACCCAGTCCATCTCCTACTGTCTTGACTCTTGTCCTGCTCTTGGAGCAAGATGGAATCTGGGAAGAGAGAGTGAGGCTGACTCTGCGCACCTCTCCCTCACTCTAATCCAATTCATGCGCAAGTCTTGACATCCCCTCAATTAGATGTCAAGGTCCTCTTCGAATACAATGGATGAACATCACTTGACAATTGCACTTTCTGTAATTCCACGGAGCATTACAGCATAAGCTAGGTCTGGCTTGACACTGTTGGGAGCCTAACCAAGTGCTTCTAACCTTGAAAGTATCTGGACTTCAACTCCCAGAATTCCCTAGCCAGTATTGGTCTGACCCTGACCCTTAGTAAGCGACAGACTCATCCAGGCAGTTTAAAAGCCCTACAAGGCCTGGAGCAGGAGATAAGTATTCTGGCGAGAATTATAGAAAACCAACAATGTAACATGAGCGGCAGAGGGGGTATTCAGCAGGTTCTGACCAGTTCTGGAGAACCAGTAGCGGAAATTTTGAGTAGTTCGGAGAACTGGTAAATACCATCTTTTGACTGGCCCTGCTCCCATCTATCTTCTGCCTCCCAAGTCCCAGCTGATCGGGAGAGAATGGGGATTTTGCAGTAACCTCCCCCTGCCACGCTCACCAAGCCACCCCACGCCCACAGAACTGGTAGTAAAAAAATTTGAATTCCACCACTGATGAGCGGTCAGCTCTAAAGACACTTGTGGCAAGCTTAGTAAAAGATCACACTTTATGAGCAACTTGGCATTAACTTTATTCTATCTTCAGTATAATTTTAAGTACATAAGAAAGATTTATTTTATATTCCACAAGCCTCAGGAGAGAAGTGAGAGTCACAGGACAGTTTCAAAATAAAGAGTTGCATATCTTCCATTAAATTTTCAAGTGGAAAACTCAAAACGTGGCAAAAAAAGAGGGGCGGGGGGAAAGGGACTATCTGCATTACTACAGTTAGACAGGCAGCTCCCTGTGGTGGGTCATTACAGTACCATGCCTTCAACTTGGGCACGATCACCAGAGTGCTGTGTGACACGAAACTTTCTGCCGAGCAGTAGGGAGAGAGGGAGAGCTAGCTAAAGAGGGGGGGTTGCCCAAATGCTATGGGGATATAATCAATGCCAGCGAGCAATAGAACCAAACCACCATGGAATTGTGCTTACAAACAATTAAATACTTCTCTTGGAATGGAGAATTAATTCTGCCTGGGGGGTGGGTAACACAAGCCAATACAGATTCTGGGGAAAACTGTCCTGGAAGACTGAACAGTGTTCATTTGTTCAAAAGAGGCCTCTTGGGTACAATTTTCCCTTTGTAGGAGGGCTTGAATGGAAGGGGTGGAGGGGGGCAGCTTTTGAACTGCTGGACAGGTGCCCAGGAAGGAGAATTTGTTCCAATCTCATGGCACCTGTATCCCGAGGCAATTTCCCCCCTTCCCCTACATCATGGCACAACACAGAATTTACACGGACAACACAGGAAGGGGGAAACAGGAGGGAGGAGGAATGTTACACATCCCATTTTCAGCCTTTGGTCCAGCAAAGCTATTCTCAGCGTCTCTTGGTGAGATTAGTTGAACAGAAATAATTCCCTTGGATTTTCCTCAATTTATGCCTGTCAAGCATACTTCATACTACAAAGGGAGGGGGGAGGTACCATATCCTGATAGAAACTTTACCCCCTTCTCCCAACGTTCCTCATTTAAGAGGCACTCCTTGGTGCCTGCCTGCTTTGACACTTACATCGATTGGGCAAGACGGGTGTTGCTTGACCAAGGGAGGGGAGGGGGGAGTGAATGCCGCACCTTCCTGCCAGTCAAGGGAGAGGATGGAATGAACCTGCCCACCCTACCCCGAATCCCAGCCTGAGGTATTTTCAGTGAGGGGAGGGGTAGCAGGATTTTCAGAAGACAGAAGCAGACTTAAGAGTTGGGGGGAAAAAAATATGGGACAAGGAATCTCAAAGCCAGACCCCAGAAAGCATTTTTTTTTGTCCCACAGTGATGGTAGAGGAAGGGGAGGTCGTGAAGCACCAGGCCGTCTTATCCGGCGATTTCCGTCACCGTGGTGACCAGCTTCCGCCCATTCCACTGTGTCTTGAATTGTTCGGGGACAGGAAATTCGTTCTGGGGAAACAAAACATAGACGCCATTGATTGGTGTGTAGAAGATAAGACATCCCTGGTGCTGAGGACACCTCCGTCTCTGGGCATAGCCCCCCCCCCCCAACCTGTGGGTTGCACCTTCCATAATTTTGCAAGGTTCCTAATACATCCAATTTATAGGCCGCTTCCCATAGTAGAGGAGCAGTGGTGGGTTGCAGGTGGTACGTTCCAGGGTCCACCCGCCCGCCTGAGCTCCTTGCCTCTGCTTTAAGCTTTTGGTACTTCCGCGCACGGCGCCTACATGATGCTCCGCCGAGCAGCTGGAGCGTCGCAGGCAAGTACAACGCATGCGTGCACCTTGCGCGTCCACCTGGGTGATGCCGGGGCTGTTCCAACCGGTACGGTTGAAACGGAATCCGGAACCCACCATTGTAGAGGAGCAGCTGAGCCACCTGACATTTGGGGGAAGCCCCAAAACACTAAATTTTCTTCCTTCAGCAACAGTATTGGATGATATAGTGTGACAGAAGGCAAGTATTTCCCCCAGCAATCAATGGGGTTAATCTGCATTGGTAATAAAACTGCAAAGAAACTTATTGGCACGATATCTTCTATCTCCCAAAGTACAGGCAGTCCCCGGGTTAAGTGAGTTCTCTTCCCAGCTCTGCCTTTAATTTGAATTTGTATAAAGTCATAAGTCACAGACTATCACCGTGATGGTGAACCTATGGCACACGTGCCAGAGGTGGCATGCAAAGCCCTCTCTATGGGCGCATGCACACATGCGTGAAGGGCGGTGTGCATGCAAGCATCGCATTTTGGGACGCACGTACATTTGCACACTTTTGGCACTTGATCCGGAAAAGGTTAGCCAACACTAGACTATAATATCCAGCCACTAGAAGGTAAAGTGAGTACAAACCCTACTAGAACTGATGTAGTTATGTAGTTTGGTAATGAAATGTCTGCAAGAAAACTCAACTCGGAGAGAACCAAGGACCTCTCATTTTAACCTGGAGCTACAAATATTCTCCTCTATCGGAACTCATACTTGCAAACAGATTCCCTATTACCAAAAATGGTGGATGGCCTTCTCTTTCCTTGAATTAACAAATTGCTGAAGCCACACAATGTTTTCACAAGCCACTGAAAAGAAGCTATATACTCAAAACACACAGCTTGGTTCATCCATTTGAGGAAAGACAATGTCATCCGCCATTTTGGGTAATAAAAGTCTATCAGAGCTACAGGTTGTCCGTCAAATCAGATGGTCTTAACTCAGGAACTTCCTATCTCTTTCAAGAACTGGATTTGAATACTCCTCATTCTAGCCTTCCTGAAGCAGACACATTCCGGCTGTGCCATTTCTGGCTGGAAATTCTTGAACTTTACAGCCCCCCGCTCATTTTGAGGATGGTTACCCCCAAGACAGTCAAGGTTTTGGTTTCTTTAATTTCCATCTCCTTGGCTGGGTTCATGCAGTAGGTTAGTTATTAACCTAGCAGAAGTGTTTTCATATTCCGACAGGCTTCCCAAGAGCCTGAAGCAAACTCCTGGTCCGACAAAAATCTCTTTTATTAATTTACTGTGAATTCTGCTCATTCACATCCAGCAAAGTCTTTCAAGGGAGGATTTACAGTCTCAGCCCTTCTCTGGCTTTGAGAGCTGCCAGGCCGATATTCGCAAAACATGGCAAGGAGTCTCGGAGAGTCACGAACCAATTATAAGTGAACTAATTGTCTCCTGCAAACTCCACTCCCCTTTCGCTCATTTATTCCCTATGGAAGGGGCATTCATCATCCATCTGTGACCTTACTCTCAAATTTACCTCTGTTCTTTAGCTGTTCCCTTCGTCTAGCAACTCTTTCCTTTAGTTGTTTAGCTTCATCTAGCATGCGCATACTGGGAACAGGCTCCAGCTGTTCGTCTGCCTCACGGATGTTTGACCCTGGCATAGGGCTCTGGCCCCCTCTCTGCCTCCGACACAGAACCCTCATCAGAGCCTTCCCCAGACTCTAGGAGAGGCCCTTGTTCCTCCTCAACCTCCTCACTGTCCGAATCGGCTGCAAGCTCTGCTGGCCACTGGTGGGCCACAACACTGCATGACATGCTCAGCTCACATTATTTTTGGTAGCTGGTGCATGAACCTAAGTCCATAAGCTAATTTTAGCTAGCTTTACATTTCGCTCTGTTTGCACATTCAGAAACTGAGTTAACTAACCAGGTGCAGTTATGCTGTGTGACTATAGCTGGGGGCATTGACCTTTGCCAGTGAAAACCTGCTCCCCCAGTTAAAGAACCGAGAACATCTGCTCAGGAATGCAATTCTCTGAAACCATCACCTGCTTCAACACCAGAGGGGATGTTTCTATTAGGAGTACAGGTAGCCCTCAATATACAACTGTTCACTTAGCAACCGTTCAAATTTACAGCCTGTCTGAAAAGGGGAAGTTCCAACGTTCCAACAGCCAGTAACGTATTTTTGGGAGTATAAGACTCCCTGGAATATAAGACGCACTAAGATTTTGACAAGGCAAATTTAAAAAAAAAAAGGTTTTGCACTCTGCAGATTTCCCAAAAATGGCCTGTTTTTCATCCAAAAAAGGGCACACAGAGCCTCTAGGAAGCTTTCAGAGAGATCCTGGGGGCTGGGAAGGCAGAAATGAGTGAAAAACGGCCCGTTTTTTGCTCATTTTTGCCCCCCCCCCTCCAGGAGTACTCTATAAGCTACCTAAAGGCTATGTATGCCTTTTTTTGGATGAAAAAAGGGCCCGTTTCCACAAAAAACAGGCCGCTTTTGGGAGGTCTGCAGAGTCTGCCATTTTGGTGAAGGGGCCGGGCTTTCGGGAGGCAAAAAAATGCTGTATTCAGTGTATAAGATGCACCCAGATTTTCAGCCTCTTTTTTGAGGGGAAAAGGGGCAACTTATACTCCAAAAAATACGGCACTTTCCCCACTAGACGTGTGACCAAATTTCAGGTGCTCAGCAAAGTGGCGATATTGCTATCTGCAGCATCATGCAGTCACGTGATCACATTTTACGATAGCTAAACCTAACTAGCCGTTACTGCTAGCAAACGATGAGTTTGCTTAACGACTGCTGCAAAAAAAGGTTGCAAAATCAGGTCAGGCATGTGATCAATCTATTTTAGCACCATCGCAACATGCAACCATAATGGGCAGGCTCCATTACCGCCTTATGTTGAGGACTAGCTATATTTCTGACCCCTTTTCAGCTTTACTGAACACCCCCTTCCGAGTAATATGGAAAAGAACTCACAAAGTCACCGCTCTCTGTCGGAACAAGAACGTTCATCTCCGAGGACTTGGCACTAACAATCTCGCAATCTAGAGAGCTCTTGCTCAAGTAGACTTGACAACCGTCTGTCTTGTTGATGGAAATGGTTGGCACTTTACCCATTACCTAGTCAAAAAGAAAGAAGATCCTGGTGAGAAACAGCCAAGGGCTCCATCTCCTACAGTGAGACTGAGCAGCATTTTTTTCTTCTGTGGAAAGGCAGACAGGAGTAGAGGAATCAGGAGGAGGAGAAAGTCCAAAGCCAGAAACTGAGATTCTTTGGTCTCTTCTTCTGAACCTCCTTTTTACACTCTCCCAAGAAGGGGCGTATGGATTCCTGAAACGAAGAAGGGACGTATGGATTCCTAAAACTAAGAAGGGGTCTGTGGACTCCTAAAACCACGAAGGGACATATGGATTCCTAAAACCAAAAAGAGGCATATGGATTCCTAAAACCAAGAAGGGGCGTATGAATTCCTAAAACTAAGAAGGGGGTGTATGGACTCCTAAAACCAAGAAGGAGCTTATGGATTCCTAAAGGACTGCAGAAATTTGGCTAAGGGTCACAGCTTGACCACTCCTTCCCTAAATGTAAGATAGAAATGAAAGGCAGGAAGGAGAACTGCAGCATTTCCGTCTCTAACACGGGCAACGGTTTGAGATACCTGGTGGGAGAAAGTTACTGTCAAGATGAGACGAACCAGAGACGTTACCTGAATTTGAACATCACGGCTGTTGATTATCTCAACAATGCCCACCACATCATCAAATACCAGCCCAAGCTTCTTACAGTTATCTGCAAGAGACAGAGAGAAATGAGACTAGCACGGAGAGTTTCCTTTAAGAAGATAAACCTCAACATAGCTACGATCTATTGTTCGTTCACTGATCCTGGGGAATCCAATATAAAAACTTCCCCCACAATGATCAAATGCAAGAGAAAGAAAACCAAAAGCACCACCATCACCATAATGCTGAGCACACATGGATACATTTCAGTAAGGAAGTCTCCTTAGAATCAAACTCAACTACTGACTCCATAAACAACTTGTAGTTTTCCGGTCAGCAGCATGGAAGGGGTTAGTCATTCCTTCCTTTCAGATAACTTTTGCCTAGCCTAAAATGTCAGAATTTCCTGCGGGTCTGAAATCATCTCAATCAGGGGTGTCCAACCTTGGTGGCTGGGGGATTCTGGATGTTGAAGTCCACAGGTTGCCAAGGGTGGACGTCCTTGATCTTAAATGCTGCCTTCTAGATGTGTCTTATAAAATCAGTACATCTATCTGATATATCTGAGATCTTTCTACAGGAGTTAATTTCATCACAGAAGAATACACGTGAATCGACATGTGTGAACCAGCCCCTAAAGCAAGCTCTACTTGGAGCCAAAATGGCTTCAGAGTTTAATGTTGATTTTGTTTTCTATCCTGTTTCCAGACAGCTCAGACTTCCAAATCATTTTTCCTAGCAATTATGTTTCCTATCCAACTTATCTTATTGTTGTTAGTTACGAAGTCGTGTCTGACCCATTGCCATCCCATGGAGAATGTTCCTCCAGGCCTTCCTGTCCTCTACCATCCTCTGGAGTCCATTTAAGCTCATGCCAACTGCTTCGGTGACTCCATCTGGCCACCTCATTCTCTGCCTTTCCCTTCTTCTTTTGCCCTCAGTCTTTCCCAGCATGAGGCTCTTCTCCAGAGAGTCTTAGATGTATCTTAGAAGGTCCTAATGCCACCACTTAATCCTCAATTCAGTAACTCAGATAGTGTCATCAACGCAATGAACACAGGCAGGGGGCTGATACGCTACGGCCCCTGGGTTTGCAAAGAGTTGGACACAACTTTGTGACTGAACAACAAAATCCCAAAGAAGAGGTGTGACCTTACCCAGCGTGATGGAGTTGATCTTGCCTTGGATACGGAGTGTACTGTTCACACATTTGTAGGCATAGACCACCTGCTTCAACTCTGTGTCACTGATCACCAAGTTGGAGGCATTCTCTTGGTTCTCCTAAAGGGGAACAAGCAGCTGCTATTATGCAAGATTCCTCCCCTTCTCTAGATGCAAACAGGAGCAGCAGAAACAAGGATGAATTACACACAAAAAATCCACCCACAGGCTGGTGGAGGCTCCACCGCATGCACTTGACTAACTGGGCATCAGGCTAAGAGCTCTTAGCTGAACTGCAGATAGTAGTAACACACTGAGAGAGAGGCACAGAACCCAAGTTCTTATCTCATGTTGTGGCCCACCAGTGGCCAGCAGAGCTGGCAGCAGACTCAGACAGTGAGGAGGTTGGGGAAGAACATGGGCCAGTCCTGGAGTCTGGGGAAGGCTCTGATGAGGGCTCTGTGTGCACATGCACAGAGTTGCAGACGAAGGGAACAACTAAAGAACAAGGGTCGACTTGGGAGTAAAGCCACAGGTAGACAATGAATGGCCCTTCCCACAGGGAATAAAAGAGGAGCGAAAGGGGAGTGGAGCTTGCAGGAGACAATTAGTTCATTTCTGCATTCTTGCTAAGTATTGCGGCGTCTGAAAGATATTGGCCTGGCCACTCTCCAAGCCTGATAAAGGTCGGTAATTGTGAACTATCTTGAAAGACTGTGGGAGAAACAAGACTTGGCTGGAGAGGATTTCACTGTAAATTAAATAAAAAGGGTTTATTGGGGCGAGGACTCGCCTTCGTGCTGCTGGAGAAGCCTGGGCCAGAACATCTCATGGTAATTCTTAATGGGCAAAATCCGGGCCAGAATAATTCAATCAATATTTAATTTTACAGTTAGTCCTTGACTTACAACCGTAGTTGAGCCCAGAATTACAGTCATATCATGGTAGTCATAAAGCGGCTTGCTATGTGAATGTGCCCTTTTTTTTGCGATGGTTGTTAAATGAACACCATGATCATTAAAGGAGTCTGTTTCCTCCCATGGGTGTTTTTCACCCAGAGGTCAATTGTAACTTTGAACGACTGCTAAGTGAGAGCTACCTGTAGTTACCTTTCCAGGTACTGGAAAGTTTTGTCCTGGCTCTACCTCCTCCTATTAGAAAGGGGGCTGCCCCACCCAATGTGCCTCTTGAAGGCCAAGGGCTTGAAAACAAAGGATAGCAATCGCACTTAGATTTATATACCGCTTTATAGTGCTTTTACAGCCCTCTCTAAGCTGTTTACAGCCTCTTTCCCCCAACAATCTGGGCCCTCATTTTACCCACCTCGAAAGGATGGAAGGCTGAGTCAACTTTGACCCTGTGAGAACCGAACTGCTGGCAGTGAGCAGAGTCAGCCTGCAGTACTGCATTCTAACCACTGCACCACCAGGGCCAGGGAAAGGAAGGGAGAAATAGCAATAGCACTTAGACTTATATACTCCTTCACAGTGTTTTCCAGCCCTTTCTAAGCGGTTTACAGAGTCAGCCAATGACCCCCAACAATCAGGGTCCTCATTTTACCCACCTCAGGGGGATGAAAGGCTGAGCCAACTTGAGTCTGGTGAGATTCGAACTGCCAAATTGCTGGCAGATGGCAGTCAGCTGAAGTAGCTTGCAGTGCTGCCCTCTAACCACTGCGCCACCTTTGCTCTTATGGGTGCACCACCTCAAGACCGTAAATTGTATTAACACAATTTATACACTCTCATGCACGCAAAGGGATTTCCCAGGTTTCCTGTCTGATAGACTCTTTTAAACTGAGGAGGCTCTCTTGCAAAGTATCAGCCTCCCAAGGCAAAACGCTTGCCCACTCACCACTCTCCATTTCTTGCCTTCTAACTCCAGCATGGGAGGCTCCTTCTTTGCAGGCAATTTGGAGGAAACGTTGACTGTGCAGGCAGGCTTGGCAACTGTGAACGGTTTGGGTCCCGTTCGTACAGGACCCCCTTGGCTTTTCAGCAACGGGTTTTTGTGGGTCTTCATCTCATCGGACACGTGTTTCAAGCCTAGGAGGGGAAAGCATCATTGGAAGGGTTCATACCTTTTGCTAACCCGTCATGTGTTGGGTTGCCTCTGGAACTTAAAACACTGGACTAACACCTTGCCATACGACCACAATGAGCCCCAAATTGTATTGCTAAGCAAGACAGTTGCCAAGTGAGTTTTGCCCATTTTACAACCTTCCTTATCACACTTGTTAAGTTGCAATTGTTAAATTACTGTGTTTCCCCAAAAATAAGACATTACATTAAGCACAGCTAATTAAACTCAGTGTCCTGTGGCGCTTATTTCGGGGATCAAAAGAAAATAAGACCCTGTCTTACTTTCTTTTGACCCCCGAAATAAGCGCCACAGGACACTGAGTTTAATTAGCTGTGCTTAATGCAAGGAAAAGGAAAAAAAAACCCTGAAGTTCTGGGGTGCAGAATTCTGAAGATGCAAGTAACGATTCCAATTATTTCTTTTGGTCATGTTGCCATGGCTGCAGATTTGGGAAATGTAACTTTCTAGTTTCTTTATTTCCTCAAAAGGCTTTGCAAGCATAGATGAGTTGAATTTCAACTTAATCTGCTCCCAGAATCTCTTTCGTCTGTTGCAATTTTGAGGCCAGGTTGCTGTCCGAAAGACATTAATTTGTTTTTGGTTGTAAACATCCAAGTTGCGCTATCTTTAGCCCCACCAACCATCTGTCCACATAAGAGAATTAACATTTGTGACATTTGGCAACCTGTTAAAACAAGCAAAACTGGGTTATGGAATGCAGTGAAAACTGCACCCTGCAGAAACTCTTATCCCCTGGACTAATCCTCTGCATGGCTTTTTTTTTAAAAATTTTTAAAAAAATGTATCAAGAGTTTGAAGCTGTAGAAGCTAGCTTCCAGAATCACGGCTAGTTGACTTGTGGCTGAATTAATCAATATGCCTACCAGAAGTGATGGCTTCTCCCTGGTTGAGCTCAGCAAAAAGCGCTGAGCGGGAGATAGAGGAATCTGAACCAGAACTTGGGGAGGCAGGTGCTGGAGGGGGAGGCGGGCCAGGGGGAGGGGGTGGTGGGCCACCACAAGCAGGAGCCCTAGATCCATTTGCTGCATCCGTCGGTTGAGGTCCCTGGAAGGATTGGGGGGGGGGGGGGGGAACCGGGGGGGGGGGGGGGGGGGGCCACCACAAGCAGGAGCCCTAGATCCATTTGCTGCATCC